TCTTCTTTGCCTTGTGAGCTGCATTCTCATGTATGATTGCACCAATTTCCTAGTTTTCGAGTCCAACATAGTGAAATGAGGTTGGCTCAAGACTATTGCACAGCACTCTAGTTTCCTTATTGCTTTACTGTTTATTCTCATTCATGCTTATTTACATTCTTTTCCAGAAATAAGCAGCTGTATGAGACAATGTTAAGAGAAACCCATATTCCCATCACAAAGATAAGGTACGGTACTTCTTTAAACTTGTCAGTCTGAAGGTAGTAACTGTACATGCAATAAAAACTCTGTGTGTTGGCATTTAACTCATACAGAGACCAGACACCCGTTTGATATTTTATTTTAGTGTTTGTCTTTTAGCCAACAAACTGGGCGTAACAGAATAGACTCTTGTGTTCTCTGCCTCCACTCACGCAGTTCATTTCTTTATTGACTTTGCATTATGGCTTTATGTTTCCCTGATACTGTTACAGTAAAGTGAAGGAAAATCTAATTGAGTGCTCGGCTCCTTTCTCTCTCAGGGTGGACGGCGGTGTTTCCTCCAATGACTTCGTCATGCAGCTGACCTCAGACTTGTTTGGTAAAAAGATAGCCAGACCACAGCACCATGAGATGTCATGTCTCGGGGCTGCTTTTGTCGCTGGACTTGAAGTCGGTATGGAAATAAATATTTAAACAGAACAAATATTTGCAGTGTAGTCGAATGTTTTGAAGGAGCATTTGATTCGCGGCCGTGTGAAGATAAGATGTCTTAGAAATGACGTTGAGCACAAACGGAGTGATCTATCATGCTCTGACACTCTGGTCTTACTTTCAATGTGGTTTTTCTCTAAAAATATTACAGCTCCTGACAGGCCCATTTGAAAAGTTTTGATCAAAAGTCCTATTTTTATTCCTGCTGACTCTGGCAGGAGAGGCAAAAAGCCTTGCTGTTTGTTACATAACCGGCTTTCCATTTAATTATTCACATTATGTAATTAGTTGTTATATATTAGTCAGTATTTAATCAAATCAACCAGAAAATATGGCTGATTTGTTGTGGCTGTTTCATAACAGGCCAGAAGCAGGTGGTGCTGACGACTGAAAAATAAAATGAATCATGAGGAACATGGCTTTTAAGTGGATCAGTCCACAGTGATGTAGATAATTAGATCATTTGTCCAGCATTTATTGCTCTTTTTGCACCACAGCGTACCTTGTGCGGTGCTAGATTCTGCATTTATATTTGTGTCGGTGTTGTACGCAGGTTTCTGGAGGACGCGTGAGGAGCTGAAAAAGCTGCAGAGTGCCGACGATGAGTTTTTGCCCCAGTGTGCAGACAAGGAGTGCACCGGCAGCCCGAACGGGGAGTACGTCCCCATCCTCCAGAGCTGGGAGAGAGCTCTGCGGCGCTCCATGAATTGGTACAACAAGCCTTGACACTTGAAGCACACACACGGAGAGTCCATGGGGTGACCATGGAGGATGGAGATGTCAGATCTGATGACATTTGAAAGTAGACCGATGATTTTTGTTAAAAAAAAAAAAATTTAAGAAAAATTACTGTTTACAAAATAACAACCATTAGCTGTGAGTCAAATTTTAACGGGCAAAAATAAATCCTGGGCTACTTATGTAAGGAAAACAGCAGTTACTTAGTCGTCCTAGGGAACATGACAGCAGATTTTTTATTTTTCCCGAGATCTGTTTTCACTGCCACTTGTTTGTCTGCAAGTTTGCACATAATCTACCTAGCTTAGTTTTTAGAAACTTGTTGAAGAGGTGTAGCACAGTTAAGGAAAGAGCCCGTTCTGGACCACAGCAGGGCATTGATCTTGTCATAGGATACACTCTCCAAGTGCCCCTCTAATGTAAAGCTGAAGGACAAATGCACTGACATGATGCTGCAGCACTGATTAATACAGTTGAAGGCACGCTTGTACTAACTTCACACAGCAGTGCAGGTCAGATCCAAGCCAAAGGATTCCCCATCCACAGCCTTGAATTGCTGTCCACAAACAGGAGTTGCTGTTCCCTGACTTGATTTCCTCTTCTTGCACACAGCAGCTGGTTTACAAGCACATTTCATTCATTCCAGGCTGGACGTCACTAGTGCTGCTTCATATTTCAGTCGGTATTTTTTTTTTCTTCCCCGCAGCGGAAATAAGATTTTTACATTTTCCCACATGGGGGTGCTGATGACCACCTTTTACAGCTTTTTAAAAATCATGAGGTCGCCATAGCAACCGCATGCCAAATGTTCATCAGCAGCTATAGAGTTAAAAGCGTTCATCCCAGATTCACACATGAGCCTCTGTTCATGACACCTCAGACTGCACAAAAGGAAGGAAAATGTGCAGCTTAATGTTTCACTTTTCCACGTAGCAGCTGCCTCTCAATTTTAAATCTGAACGTTGACCTCGTATGTCATACATGATGCCTTTTTTTTTTTTTGATTAATTACTGTGTGATCAACAAATTATATTCAGTGGCTGTATTCAGAGATTTAAATATGACTAGAACAAAAAACTAATTGTATGTGTTTGTTTTTCTGTATGTGGGAATTTGACTGGAGTTAAGTGTTTAATGTTAATTCTATGCTTCCAATTTGTCGATTATATACCTCTCGATTGGCAACAAGAGCTGGAAAAAGTATTAGATTTAACTGTAATAAACACAAAAATGTCTAATTTTGTACTGTTTGATGCTTTGATCTGTTATTTTGTTGCTGTGAGTGAGGTCATAAGGGGTTCAAACCAGTCCATGTCTCATGATTATTCTTTGTTAGTGTGGAGTACAACCATGGGGATGTCATATGATAATGTTTTGTCTCGAGTCTCGATCTCGACTTGATGAACTCTGATGACATAGTTTAAAATTCTGATCGCATTATGATGAAGCCCAAATGACTAACTAGATCTAAACTGTGAATGTCTTTCCTGACTTGTTCTGCTCCCCGTGTGATGATCTGTTCTCTTGCAAAGTGTAATACTGTGCCTAACCCTAAAGTTAACCCCAGTTCACGTGTGTGACATCACTTGTACTTCATTCAGTTTCTGAATGGCACGTGTCATTTCAACATGCTAGGGCCTAGCAGATGAATACAATGTCTGTAATTGTAAAAAGATTTGGATGAGAAGGTCTAGCATTTTTGTTGCTGGGGAGGGGCTTCTATTAAAAACCTGAATTATCAGCTGTTGTGGTCGTGGTGATTTGGGTGCCTCACGCACTCAAGCTGCACAGGTGTCTGTGACACACGGTGAGCGAGTGAGCAGATGCTGCCTGAAAGTGTTTACCTCCACAAGGACTCTGGGGAAATGCTGCTGCCTCATGCCTGAGATATGGGGGGGGGTTATCAGAAACGCAGGCCGCCGGATGAGTCTGGGGATTGAGTCCCATTGATGTGGGCAACCTCGCTGTGAGGGTTGCTATGGCAGCTTGGGGATGGAGTGACTGAGAGAACAAATGGAGTGTGTGTGTGTGTGTGCTCATGGTGCTGGTATGGCGAAGGGGGTGCTAATTGAGTGAGCACAAGGGGGATTTCCTAAACAATGGGAGGATTGTGTGTTTATGTGTGTGTTTGCCAGGAGGAAGAGCAGTCGTGAGTTTTTGTGTACATCATGCGGATCCATGGTCTGCATAACACCACAGCACTACAAATGCTTCTTCTACTGTAACTCGAGCTCAGCTTTCTCACTCAATTCTTTTAGTTTAATTGCCACTGTGCTTTGCTTGCAATCGAATGTGTGTGTGTGTGTGTGTGTGTGTGTGACAGAGGACTAGCCCATCAATCAGTGCTGCTGGTGGCTCTCACGCTAATCAGTAAAGTGTGTGTGTGTTGTGCCTGAATCCTGGTGCACCCTTTGCCTTGTAACAAATTCAAGCTGACAGCAGGAACTGTATGCAGTGCGACCACTACTCCAGTCCCCCTCCCCCCACGTGAACTGAACCCTGCATCAAGGGTCATTATATAACTCCCTTTTTCTCTCCCTCCCTGTGACACACTGGGAGTGTTCAGTAGAGTAGGGGGGGGGCTGGAAGTTAAGCTTTCGGATTTTTGTTTGAGCCCCACTTCTCCCCTTATGCACAGGCATCTAACCTCCTTTCAGTCATCTTCTAGCAAAGCACGGACTCCCACAGGGCGCGAGGATTTTTTCTTTTAATGACACAGAGACTGGTTGAAGCTATTATAGGATGGCATCCTTGCCTCAGTCTGCGGTGGAAAAAAGCGTTTCTTTGTTAAATAGGGCACATCTGTTTACAATCACGCACTCTGAATCTTCTTGTCCTCCTCCTTCGCTTTTTCACACATACACGCACACACGCAGTCTATTTTGCCATAGCAACAAGGGTTAGCAAATGAGGCAAATATCTGTGGGGGGGAATCGGTGGCAAATCGCATCCCGATCGGCTTCTGGTCTTTTGATCACTCGCTCTCACGCTCCTACATATTTATGTGAACGAGCGTGATCGTCCAGAGTTTTCCGAGTGATTAGCAGCGCGCCCCGTGCTGCTCGAACACACCTCAGTCCGATTGGTTATTGGTTTGGTGACTCACCACGTACGACTTGTGTGCAGAAGAGCGGTAATTCATCTATAATAGGTCCGAATACTTTCGTAATAAAGCAAAAGATGCACGTTATTTTTAACAGTACTGTGATTTTAGGGTTTCCACAGACGCACTTTGTGCCCAACAATCCGTAATCAGTGCGCCATGTTTGCGCTTTTCTCGTGTTAGCTATAATAATAATAATAATAATAATAATCATAATAATAATAATAAAAGATCTCTCACTTAATAAATGGAGATCCCAGGCTCTTCCTTAGTTGGCACTGCCATTAAGGTGCATAATAAAAACGAGAGATTAAGCATGATGGCGCGTGCTCCTTTTATAATTAGTGCGCGTAACGCTGCGTCTCCGTGCGTCTCCCCGTGATTAGCCAATCTGCATCCATCTGCTCGCACTGCATCAGCTGCCACGTTAGGCCCAGTGTGGACGTCACAGATTTTTTTCCCCTCTTTCCTCACCTTTTTTTCCTGTTCCACCAGAGCATCTCTCTCTCCCTCTCTCTCTCCTCCTGCTCTACCTCTCTTTCTACACCGCCCACTCCTTCCCCAATCATTGATCCGACCACTCACTGCCGCCTCGCCGGCTTCTTTTGCCTCATTACATCGCCCGCTGCGCTTTCTGCATTTTTTTAGGGAGGAGAAACGGCACATTTTGGGACCAAGAAAAAAGAAAAAGAAAAAAACACATCACCATGGCGAGCACCGAGGATAAAGCGGCCAACAAGGAGAACGTGTCCAGCTGGAAGGACTCCATCTACAACCCGAGAACCGGGGAGCTGTTGGGTCGTACTGCCAGCAGCTGGGGTAAGGATCCCCGTTACACAGCAGTCAATTAGTGGCCGCGCTTTGACATTCACGGAGCTTATACCTAATCTTATAGTCGTTTTCAAAGCATTTATAGCCACGTGTCTCTTCGGTATAAAGCCTCCTATAAATGTCTTTGTGTGGATGGATTTAAATGAGTGCCACATAGATGGCTGAGAAGCCATCACAGGCCTGTGTGAAGGTGTTAAAGGAGAAGCCTGTACCAAGAGGCTCGCCAAGATAAATGATGCTATCAGAGGTGTGCAGCAGTCTGTCTCTGCTGCATAGGGAAAAACAGCCAAGCAGGCGATAATCAGTCACAGCAGCCTTGTACATTTTAAAATATATATATATATATTTTAATGAATGATCAGCATCTGCATTAACAGAGTTATCCGGGACCTGCACTGACACAGCAGAGCCCAGCTGAGAAAGATGCTCATCATAGCTGAGGAATGTGCCACAGGCACAATCAATATCTGATCAGGCCATACATTTTATGTAATAATCCCCCAGTTATTTCCAGAGTAAGGTAGTAACAGGGGTACCCTCCCTCCAGCAGCCGGCTCCTATAGGCTAGCGCAGATTGTCAGGCTGCCTGCGCCCCTGTGCTGCTGTGCAGTGGGATGCTCCATTGCAGTTGCATGGCCGCCCACATTAGCATGCCTGTCAAGGTCAAATGGGATTCCCTCTCTCCTCTTTCTCTCTCTTTTATGCACCAGGCAGGTGCATTGTGGGATACTGTTGGAGTGGAATGAGGGAGGGGGGGGTGTACAGCGGGAAGCTGAGGGGTCCACCCCCCACCCCCCGTTTTTGGCAACTTAGAGGGCATCCATGCTGTGCAGGCTGGATGATGGTGAACCATTTTGAGTCAGATGTTCCCATAAATGCAGCTTTTTCTCTCCCTGCAGTTATATAAATGAGACAGCAGATGCCCCGAGAAACTGCAGCGATCTTTGAATCACGTTTGGGCTGAAAAGAAGTGAAATGGGGCCTCACATTTGTTAGCAGCCGGTGAAATTTCCTCCCATATTCAAAATGGTTTCCCTCGAAGGGACAGTTCATTCAAATGACCTGAAGACGAGGGGAAGTGTAAAGAAATCAAGCGTAAGGCTATGGCTAAAATGTGCAGTGAATCCCTCTTTATCTCATCACCGTCATCTTTCTCTTTCTCTTATGTGTTTCCTCCCGTGACATCCTCCAGCACTCATCCTCTTGTTCTACTTGGTCTTCTACTGCTTCTTGGCCGGCATGTTCGCTCTGACCATGTGGGTGATGCTGCTCACTCTGGATGACTATGTGCCGAGGTACAGAGACCGCGTTCCAGAGCCAGGTTAGTATCTCTCAAGATTAAAATACACAGGAGTAACTGGACTTTTCCTTTTCTGTTCCTGGCAGCATCACTCATCCAGGCATTCATTATTAATGCCTGCACCAATAAGGTGCTGTCACAATAAAGCGCTGCATAACAGCTGCTTTTTACATCGATCTATTTTGAAGACTCTTCCTGTGTGATATCACCAGTGGTTGCTGTTGGCTGAGTGTTTTCTTTCCAGGTGTATAAAGAGGGGAAAGAGGTTCTACAGCCCACAGACAATCAAAGATAGACAAAAGTCGCAATGTTTTTCTCCCCTTTCTCGTTCACAGTGAACTCCCTGCCCTGTTCCCGCCCACAACCAATCAGCATCTTCATCTACTTTGAACTAGGTGTTGTTGGTTTTTGGAGGACTGCTTGGCAGGAACCATAGTTCCACACTGAATACCAACCCAAACAGACACAACCTTGTAGCATAAATTCACCATGATTATTTCTATATCTGCGTATTAGGACATCATTCACCTTTAATGACGAGTTTTGATAACTCTGCATAGGCGTGGTTTGATGACCATTAGAATAGTTTCCAGGTTTTTCCAAGGGTAGACAGGAAGAGACCACCCTCATTAACCTCTGAGCTTTAAAGGTTAATCCTGGTAGGCTTTCTTGGGGTAAAGAGTTAACAGCAGATGTAATGGATCTAAGGTTACGTGGGTTCAGTTGATCTCCCTGCCCACAGTGCAGTCACCACACCTGTAAGCAGGAGTGCAGCATGAAGATGGCCGTGCAGAAGTTAATTTCAGATTTCCAAATGAATCCTTTTAATAGATTATCAGAATCAGCGAGGTTCTCCTACAGTACTCATGGTGACAGCCCAGCTATGCTGCTTGCTATTTCTTAGCTGACAAACAGAAGGCTAACATTTATTACCAGATGGATATCAACGCCATGATGAAGGGCTTCAGGGTGAATCCTGAAAACATACTTTTTAAACTCTCAGCTGTATGCAGAACCAAATTTTTTTATGCTCTGCCAACATACCGTCAGCATAAATGACACTTAGTAACAGGGTAATTGTTATTCATAACCGCTGATGCAGACCTGCTGCTGGACAGTGTGGTTGTATAAAACGTGGCGTACTTGTTACGAGATCATCGATGGCTTTGGCAGGACATAACAGTGTTTGAAAGATAAAAGTCGAGGTGCAGGCGCCGTGTTTTTGGTGTCATCTCTGACAGTAATCAATGCTGATTGCTGTTGATAGTTTCGATTTTTGTGTTGATGTTCAATGTGTAAATCTGGCTTCCTCTGAGTTGATGGCTGTGTCTGGTTTGTGTTTCCAGTCATTTTTATTAGATGATTGATTGTATTCTGGTGATTCATCTTGGATTGGAGGAGTTAACAGAGCTTTCAGAGACCAACATTATTCTTTATTTAAAAGCTCACAATCACATTAGATCATAAAACATTCATAAATGATCTCAATTTTGCAGCGAATATTATTTTCGTTTTGGCTTCAGTGCTCCGTAGTATGGTGGTTTACACATTGGCCTAACGAGTGAAAGCTTCCCAGCTTGATCCCGGGAGGGACACAAATCCCTTTGGGGTTGTGTCAGGAAGGGCATCAAGCGTAAAAAATCTGCCAAATCAAATAAGCGGAGCTACCCGCTGTGGCGACCCCGTGTGAATAAGGGAGCAGCTGAAAGTGGCTTTTTATTTGGCTCAAGTGCTGAGAGGGCCTGTCCAACTCACAGTGCCATCCCCACAGCACCACCTACCTGAAACGCATTCAGGGCGTGTGTGAGTATGTGTTCACCCTCTTTCCTTCGTTTACCTTATGTCTCGTTACAGGGTTGGTGATTCGTCCAAATTCACTGGACATTGCTTTCAACAAATCTGACTCAAAAAACTACAAAACCTATGTCAACCATCTGGAATCCTTCCTGCAAAGTAAGTGCACTTTGCTCTAATGCACAGATAAATTAAACAGATTGAAAGCGAGCTGTAATAAAATGAATACCACTCTCCCTCTCTCCGATCTTTTTCCACTGACTCTTGCCAAATATCTGAATACGCTGTACCTCAATCCATCTCTGTCTCTGCATCAGGATACAACGATTCGATGCAGGAGAACAACGACGACTGCATTTCGGGAGAGTATTACATGCAGGACGACGGTGAGATGACAAAGAAAGTTTGTCCCTTCAGGAGGACCTTCCTGAGTTTGTGCTCTGGCCTTTCCGACACCGACTTTGGATATCAAGAAGGAAAGCCCTGTGTGCTGCTGAAGATGAACAGGGTAACACTCACTATTTCTCACAGATCCAGGGAAACGCGCGTCCTTTTCCTGTTTTCCGCACAGCCTCTATTCTCCAATTATTTGTCCCTGTGCTGAGAGTTCCCAAAAAATAAATGATTTCTAATTCTGGACCCACGCAAGCAGCAGCCGTGCACAGTTTCAACCTCTCTTCCTGTTTCTCTCCTTTCGTAGATTATTGGCCTGAAGCCAATTGGGGATCCCTACATCAACTGCACGATCAAAGTAAAGCATTTTCTCTACATTGCACTTGTCCTGCTGGCTTGTATGTGTATTTTTTGTCTTTTTTATTTCTTTCATACAAAAACATAACAGTTTCACTGTTTTCTTTCTGTTGATCTCGCTTTCATTTCTTCCTTCTTTTTGTTTGTGTTGTGTCTGATATCTTCCTGCATGCTGTCACTGATGGCTTTAGGGTAAGATAAACATGTAAATTTTACAGGATAAGGCCAGTAGGGGTGTTAACACATTTTCATTATGTAACATGGCGTTATGCAGGTGACTCTAAACCAGTCTTAGTGCCATTCTAAAGTCTATTTTAATCTAATCGGTGTAAGTTTTCTGCCAGAAATGTCACTTTTTTGGATTGAGCGGAACGCATCGTGTTTTCCACTTCATTCAAACCTCCTCGCTGACAGCAGAGAGTCCTCACTTTTCTGTCTTGTTCTGTCCCGTTTCATGTGGTCTCGGAATATGTCTCATTAATTCGACATTAAATGAATTCCTTCATTGTAAAATCTTTACTCTGAGACGTGTCCTGCCTTGCAGAAAGACCACCCGGTCCAAATGCACTACTTCCCAAGTGAGGGCCGCATTGATAAGATGTATTTCCCCTACTACGGCAAGAAAGCCCATGTAAGTATTTAACTACAGCCGGACAGTGTCCACTAACCTGCCCGATAAGTGATGTGTTACTAATAAATGATCGCCTCGGTCCTGATGCAGGAGAACTACGTGCAGCCCCTGGTGGCTGTGAAGCTGCTGCTCACCAAGGAGGACTACAACAAGGAGCTGGCCGTGGAGTGCAGGGTAGAGGGCACCAACCTGCGCAACAACGACGAGCGGGATAAATTCCTGGGTCGCGTAACGTTCAGGATCAAGGTGGTGGAGTAAAAGGCAAATATACAGCCTGTGAAAGGAAATCTAATTGAAGCTGCCCACTAAGGATTTATCTTTATT